CCTCATTTTCCTGATTATTTTCTTTTAACAGCTTGTCTATTGCACATGTGTTTAATTTCTCTTCCCGGGTTCTTGATTTGCCTTTTTTTTTTTTTGGTAGCAATTAAATCTCCTAAAATTATTCCTGTTGTTTTGATAATGTTAAAGAAGTTCTTTTGTGCATGTAATCACTTAGGGTGTTTTGGTTTGGGGGTTTTTCCCCCCTACTGTTAATGGTGAAAATCTGCTATCATTTTGGTATTTATAACAGCAATATGTCAGAGGTTTCCCTTGGCTACCTTCAGACACTGAACACTCTTTATGAAACAGTTCACAGAAAACAGAATGCAGAGCTCTGACCAGTCATGACTATGTTTTCTCTACTCCAAGTTCCACTGGTATGGCACAAATAGACTGAGTTAGTTCAGTAAATAAAATAAATACAGTCTTCCTGCTAGCCAGTTGTTTTCAGGATTATTTATAGATGTACATGTTTTCTCAAGCAGGGATTTGATGAATCAGTTGGTCCCTCTTAACTAATGCATAACCACACTTTACATAAAGTTTTGAGTTGCTTAGAAATTATCAATGTTAATGTCATATGTTGACATGAGAACTATTCATGGAAAGGTATCAGTTTTGAAGAAACTTTGGTACATATGATATTTTCTCTAACTGCAGAAAACATAAGTACCAGTCTTTGCCCATTTAACATTTTATTACTTATACAAAATGGAAAATTCCAAGCAAAAATCATTAGAAAAAGTGCAAGTAGTCAGGGTAGCACCTCAGAAATTAAGATAGTGTAATCTGGTACTCTAATCTACAAGCCGTTGAGTCTTCTATGTTTTTACTTTTTTTTTCCTGTGGAAAGTAACATACCTTAGAGAACAACTCCCCTTCCCCTCCCAAAATATTAAAGACATCTGCTTGGAAGGAAAACTGTTTCCTGTGCAATTCTGAGAGTTGATTTTCCACTAGTATTATCCATAGGAAAGTAGAGAGGGGTTTTCTATGTCATACTACAACACCAAAATTGTGCCTACTTGTGTATGTACACTGGGGAAAAAGAAAGGTCTTAAGTGTCTAAGTTATGGTAAATGAAGAAAGGATGTACCTTTGAAAGCTACCAGAGGGAAATCCTTCCCCCTTTAGGGCACTTATGCCTAAATTAGCCATTAATGGACTTTGTTTCTAATAGGTAAGGAGAAAATATGACTTGAAAGTAATTAATAGATTTTTTTTTTTCAGTGGAACGAACTTATCATAGTTATGTTTCTGCCTCATGTAAAGGGAAGACTAGAAGAAAGCAAGATAACATGGGAAATGGAGAAGATAAAGTTCTAATCTACTCAAATGTCTCCTCAATTGATCAGGAAAATAAGAAAGAAGATGTGATATTTGAGACAAGCAGAATACCATAGGGACAAATGAAGGCAGAGTCACAAGGAACAGAAATGAAATCTTGATCCATTGAAAGCAATTAAATCAGTGATGATTTAACAAAGTTGAGGAGGTAGTGAGAGCTTTGGGAGGATCTGATCATCTTTAGTATGTTGAAGAAGGAAGCAATTGTTTGGATGTACAAAAGAGGTATAGTGGAAACACCTCTGAAGTTAAAAGATTGGTTTATGAAGCAAAAGGATTTACTGTTGGAGTACTGGTGGTGTTATGAGGACGATGCCGTGTGCACTAGCCTTTCCTCTTCTGCACTGTGACTTCAGAAGTCTGCCTCACTGGAGGTATTCAAGAACCATCTGGACAAAACTCCGTGAAATATGCTCTAGGATGACCTTGTCTGAGCAGGGAGGCTGGACCAGATGACCCACTGTGGTCCCTCCCAAGCTGATCCATTCTCTGATTCAATTGGATTTTCCTCTGTGTGGTTGCACATGCAACAGAAAATAGCAGTATACTACACTGCATCAGGACAACCTCTTTTCAATAACAGAGAGACAATTTATGTCCTGACAAGATTTTCCTCTTTCTCACCACTTTTCTCTAGAAATCACTCATAAAACCTTCTTTTTACCAGTTGTATACAGCTTCCAAATAAAATTTAAGAAAGAAAATTATGTATACAAAGTTCAATCATGCATATGAGACATAAGGGAAAAAGAAACATATTCACCTACTTTTTTGGTTTGTCATATGAAAAGTCTCACGAACTTTAGGAACTAATAAAAATTTGTGTATGATCAGGAGCATAGCTTCTTCAGTGATTATAACCACTAATATTGAATATATTGAGTAATCACTGTCATTTTTGTAACTGTTGCAATTTATATAAATTTTGATGTAGTATATATTTTATTTAAAACTGAATTCCTGTTTTATTTCAGATTCTTCTAACATATCAATTCTTAAATAGAATTGTTCTGAATCTTTTAAATAGCTAATAAAATAAACTTTAATTAAACTTCTCAAAAATTTTAACTTTTATTCACAATGTACATCTAAAAAATCACCCAAGTTACATGTTAGTAAAGGAGGAACTTGCAGTGGACCATTTCTGGAAATTTTGTTGATTTTTAGTGTTGATAAGTATCAGCTTTAATCATCTATTATTATTTTCAAAATCAGATCTCTACTTCATGTTAATTGTCTTATGCTGTAATACTAAAATGTCAAGTAAGGGAGAACACCAGATCTCCGTGATCTGCTACAGCCAATTTTACAATGCCTTACCCTCAGTTAATTCATTAAACTCATATGCATAACATGTTTCAATTCATAACTCATATTAAAGGAGGACAAAACCAATGTTTGACATAAACATAAAGGGAATTAAAATTTAGGGTGCAGCAATGTGAAAATGTACAGAATAGACCAGAGTTACACTGAAAAACATGTAAATTCTGTAGTGGAAAGGAATGGAGCATGTCATGTGGACAGAATTTCGATTTATCATTGCAGTAATTACAATTTTAATGATCTCATCAAATTATAACAAACAGATATAAGTAATCCAGCTCTACAAAACAAAGATCTATTGTTCCCCCCCTCACAGGGTCTTTCAGGCCTTTGATACAGGCCTGGGTAACTTAGTAATTCACAAATATTTTTACCCTCCTTCTCCCTCCTCCATGGAGCACAATAAAAGCCTTATAATCCTACCTTAATTTGGTTGATGCAAAGCTGAAATGTCAGATAAAGAAATACTTCAGAAGAGTTTTATGGAGCGACTCCTTAAGGCTCCACAGACAGCCTGTATGGTACTCTATGAATAATGGAATTAATTTCAAAGAACCTTGTGATTAGAATCAGTGTTTGGTTAGGTTGATTAGAGCTAGCACTTGATAACCTGTAGTGAACAGCAGGACTGAGCTAGAATAAGGTCTAAAATATTACTGTTAAAAGTCCTAGAAAATGGGAAACAGGAGGACATTTAGAGGATTTGTAGGACAAAATGGAAAATATGGATAACTGTCCATGTGGATAGCCACAGAAATACTTTGGAGACCAAAGGAGATAGCATTTGTACTACCTAGACCTGAGAAGATAGTCCAATACTAAAAAGAAAATGGATGCAACTAGGAAAACAAGTCTAGTGGAAGTATGGAATCAGAAGTGCTACATCTTGGACATGACATGTGCTAAAGATCTGAAAATATGAAACACTCAACGTGACTCTGAATACTGCATAATATGGCACCTAACTCTTTATAGGCTTTGCTAGAAGTACTTTTTTACAAAGTTTTTCAATCTCTTTAAAACTGAAAAAGTGTAAGTACTATTTGAGTTTGATCATCATTAAATCAAACCTGAACATTTCTTTACTCCTTGTGTTTTCATCAGAAGTGTCAACACTCTCTATTATCTCCATTAGAACAAGAATTAGACTCCCAAAAAGCAAGGCATTGTATTTTTTTCATGCCTCTCTCTGCCTCTCATGCTGTTTACTATGTTTATCATTCCATCTATTTTATTCTCAAGGGGAAAACCTTAAAAAACAATAACATCACAGCAGTGGCTTGGGATGGTGACTGAAATGTAAAATCTTTTTTACAGATTAATGTTGTGTTTATGTTATATTTTTATATTCTGCCTTTAGCTAGGTCAGGCTCTAGAAATATTGAGTTAGGTAAATGTGGAGGAAATGAAGGAACAAAAACAGCCTTTTCGTTTACAAATCTATCTATCTATTTATCTATCTATCTATCTATCTATCTATCTATCTATCTATCTATCTATCTATCTATCCTAATCAAAGCTATCCTGCCCTAAAAACATCTGGAGAGAAAATGCTGGGTTTTCTTTGGATGGATAATTCTAGTAATTTACAAGTAACAATAAAAGCGATAAGAGAAGCTGTGCATATACCCACTAATGCCAAATAAAAAATGAAGTTGAGCACTACCAGGAGAGCACTGTGTACTTGACCGCCTTGGACAGCTACTACTAAACAGCTTGAAGACATTTCTCAGTGTTTCCTCTTAAATACTGCATCTCTATTTCTACCGCTTATTTGAGCATAGCAGCTGTTACATGGCGTACTTCTGATAGTTAGATCCTGACTATGAACAAAGGACATTTCAAGTGATGTTATCTCCATTGGGAAAATATAGATAGGAGTCATCCAAATTGTTAAAGCATAATCTGGAAAAAAACAACTTATTGCTTCATGTGTCGTACAAAAGGAAACAGTATGGAACGTCACCTTCTAGCATATAAAGTCTAAATATACAGGGAACATAGTCTGAGATGCATTTAAATATGTTCTCTTTTTGCCTGGTTTTCTGTTTCTTTGTGTCTCTGTGTATGTGTACTCACATACACATATTTATACACATATGATTAAACAAGGAAAAAATAGAAAAGCACATATTTACCTCTCTAACTAATAACTTCTTCTCTGAGAAAGGGGTATATAAACAACCTGTCATACTGACCAAAATTAATATATTGTGTCTCTATCCTTTGTGTATTTCTTTTAACAAACTATTATTATTAATTATTATTTTTATTATTATCTTTCCATTTTCCTTTATTTTCCCCATCCTTAGAGCTGTATCTTGGAGAAAAAACAATGGAAAAGAATAAAGTAAAACAGGTAAATGATCTCTTCAGTCTTTTTAAGCTGTAATTTAGTAAGACAGATAATTTCTCTCTGTGTGTGTGTTACTATTCCAAATTTTCTTGGATTTTTTTCAAAGCTAATATTTTAGCAGCGTTGCCAGGAAGAAAAAAAAAATTGCAAGCACAAGCTGCTGTTATGAAAACATTGCTCTTGTAATTCCAGGCTTCTGTTTAGTGTCCCCATGAGTGCCATTCTTCCAGCGCCATTGGCTTTTCTTCTCTTCTTGCAATTTCTATTGATTGTGTGTGCATGGCCTCTTCCATCTGCTGGCAGGAGGTCAAGGAAATAAGCAACACTTTTAAATACTTTTCTTTACATAAATATCACTAAATTTTGAGTCAGATGCACACACACACAAAATTAATATAAGTGTAAACTTACTAATATTACTCCAACAGTACTCATCATTTATATTTGTATAATATATCAGGAAAATTTTTAGGAACATAAAATTATTTGGATAATTTGGATTATATGATACTATCACATGTAATTTTCATAACAATTTGTTAAGAAACAAATAACTTTGCATCCAAGTTAAAGAGTAAATTATGCAAACTTAAACCAAGGGCTGGGGAGGGAAGAAGAGGAAGAGAAATCCTAATCTAGTTCATATAGTTAGTCAAGATTTATTGGTTAACCCACACTCAGTTCCAATGTACCTTTTACACATGCACATGTTCACACATGCACATAGACACAGACACGCACATTAATTGAGACAGATGCACATTAGGTATTCATAGTTACTGCAATTACCTTTTCCCCTATATAAGCATAACCAAACAGTTCTTTAAGAGCAATCATTGTTAGAACATTTTTTTTTTACCAAAGAAAATGGTGTCTAAGAATTTTTGAACATTTGAACAGGACTAAAACACATAGATCTGATAATTTTATTCTAAATATTATTCTGTATCTGTTAAAATAATTTTGAAGTTAAAAAACCAAAACAAAATAAACCAGAACAAGTTATGGGACCAAAGTCTTCCTATTTCACAATTCCTGACCAAAAGGACACATATTTTGGTAACCTCACAGCAAGACCTATTTCACATACAAAATTACTCTGAGATGATACAGCAGCTACCTATTAGCACCACTTGATACCTTAGAGGCTTATATCTGGTAAATGAATCATGGTCACAGAATTGATTCATGAACTGTCTTGTTGTGGCAGACACTGTTTAATTGTTACTATGCTTAAGAAAGTCTTAGGCGATGAAGATGCACTACATGAGAGATTCCAAGCACACAGTCATGATCTGTGTCCTGCTGTTTGCTTTTTAGGGCTCTAGCTCTGTATAATTTACAAACTTCTTATGTGGTCAAGGCCAAAAATTTCTTTCTCCCTTTCCTGAAAATAATTCATCTGCTAACTTCATGGCTCAGTCCTATATTTTTTTACAGAGGACACTGTTAAATTTGAAGAACCAAACACCTAAATGAAAGGTAGAGAAAAGTCCAAGTGTGGACTTCAGCTAACTGTATTACATGATGCAAACATGTATCCTGGTATATAGAACAGAAAGGAATCTTTATATCCTTGTAAATATTGGCGAATTTAAAGGAAAAAGCATACTTCAAACACAGAATTGTAGTTATGGTCACATCCAAATCCTGATCACTTCATCAGAAAAGTTTTCCTTATCAATACTTTTTTATTTCTGTAGATATTTTTCCCATTTGATCAGTTTTTTACTGATCATTTGTTGTTTCCACAAACATTATATTCTAAGAACTGAAGAGAGTGCTGTGAGTTGTTTCATGGTGGTCTATGGAATACTGGAGATAAGATTTCTTTGAATTATTTGATCCTTGTACTAAAATATACCTGTAGTACACAAATAGTTAAGAAGCAGTTAAATCAGCAGTTAGCACTTGAGTAGGTTATGGCACTGCTTAATCCCAACAGAACACATGCAGATATCAAATACTTTTTTTTCTAAGTTCATGTACTCATTTAGTTGTTTGGGTTGCTTGGTTTGTTTTTGGTTTTAAATTATCTACTATGTATGTTCTCCTTACAAGAACAATAACTTAATATTAAAACTGCATGGAAAAATTTCTTTGCTCACAATTTTTAGATTAAAAAAAAATAACAACCTGAACCTGAAAATGCAAAGGCATACATTTCTGTTATGGTTAAACAGCCAAGGGGTGGAAGTTTAGCAATGAATATTCATACCATCACATCATCATGGAGGGTGTGGGCTGGAAACCACATGGTTGCCATCATTTTGTCTTTCGGTTTTGTCCAGGGTGAGGGGGGAGGGGAAGGTAGAAGGGCTAGAAAATGATTTCTGCCTCTGTTAGCTTAAATTGTTTTCCTTTGTGTCTTTGTAATTACTGATATTTCCTTTATTAATTTGTTATTTTTTATTTATCTCTCTTTGTATTGTCCCTTCATTGTTAGAATGGGTGGGGATAGGTTGAAACAAAAAAGGAGTGGCTTATTTGGAGGTCTATTTCTCCGGTTGGTTTGTCCAAAACAGAAACAGAGACTAGGGCAAAGAAAACTTGCTAATATCTAGGTTTTGTTGACTGTGAGATGGTACCACATTGATCAGTTCATAAATTCTTACAAAACTATTGTTTTGTTTACACATGTACTATCTATACTTCAAAGTATTGATTGTTCGATGGTATTATCTTACATTTTCTTCTTTGATTTAACAATACACTAATCTAGAAAATCAGATTAAACTTGTGTTTTTCATATTCCATTTCATTCACAGTGGATGTGTTATGCATTTTTCTGTGACAGTCATAAAATCAATAATCGGTTGTAATTTGGACCATAGAGCTAAACAATGAAGAATGTCTCTGTATTAACTTTTCTATCAGTCCAACACCAGAAATTCTTAATTTAGTGTATGTGAGATATTTATTACACTGGACATTCTTTAAGTCTTTCATATATTGGTCAACCTTTGATGTCCTAATACCATTTAGTTTCAAAATGCTACAAAGTTATTAGAAAACGAATTAGAAGGATTCTGGATCCTGTGTGAGTGGGAAGATGTCTTTCTCTTTTTTTTTTTTTTCACTAACACTCACTTGTTTTCTTTCTCTTTTTCTGCAGAGATAATTTGATCTTTTATCAAGAATGGGAGCTTGGAACTTCCCCTGGGGGTTGTTACTCTCTTGCTGGAGACCATTACACAGGAACATGAAAGTCTCCCCATAGGGAATTATTTTGGTATGAGAAACACTATGCTGATACAGATTAATTTCTCTCCTAATATTTATTGATTTCACACTGATTTCCCAGTGCTCTGTTTTGTTCCAACATTTTACCAGGGAAAAGAGAAATATTGCAGCTGGGGGGAGGTACAACAGAGGGAACTGTTCAGGGTTTCCAGCTCTTCTCTGTATTGCAGTGGATAAACCAGCAACAGTACCATGCTTAAACAAAAACAAATTAAAAGAAGGTAACTGTAATATAGTAGGTTTGAATTGTGCAGGGTCCAATATAGCAAGGTCAAGCAAAATAAGACAAACCCATGAAGGTAGTGGCAGGTGTATCTCAGCTATTTAGCAGTATTACACCAAAGGATCTTTTTTGCTCTTTGGAGATTTTAGGATGCAGAGATGAACAACTACTAGGATATTGTCTAAATTCAATGTGCATTCATTTTGTAAACTAGATGTTGACATTCTTCTGTGATGTTTCTTATGACAGACTGAAAAGATTGTAGTTCATACTTACCGTATCTTCACTGTGCTTCAGTTAAAATATAGCCCATTGCATCAGACCTTTTTCTCTTTCAAGATGATTCAATGCATTAAACATTAGCTTTTGATGTGGACTCCTCACAAGAGATCTCTAAAAAATCTTCTCAAGCAAAGTTTACTGCATATCTTCATCATTCTGACAGCTTGCTTAACGCTGAAATAAGTAAGACATAACCTTTACCTTAAAAAGATAAACTAAAAAAATGCACAAAAAATTTTTGTGTTAATCAAGTTGTATTTTTCCAAATTTGCACTCCTAAAATAGTTTCTAAAATTTCAGATTGCTATGAGTATAACTAATCTATAATTTTTTGAAGTACTCCATGGTTTTCTTCAAGTTATTATATTACAATTCTTCAATACTCCCAGAAACTTTACTTCTACTGATTTCATAAGAAAGAGTAACACAGATCCAGCAGTTTCTTTTCTTAATTGTTGTCAGAGACTGAAATGTTTGATGATTTATGCATTCTAGGAGACTTTTGCAGGCTTTTGACTTGCATTTTGGATGGACAGTTGGGCCCATACATCCCTCCAGTAAAGAGCCAAGTTTGCAGGCTTTTGACTTGCATTATACCTCTGATGAGCAATCTGGCCCCTCGCTCCCTCCAGTGCTGAAGGTGTGAAGCCCTGAAAAGGCAAGAGCCAAGCTTGCAGGCTTTTGACTGTTGCATTGTACCTCTGATGGGCAATTGAAGGTGTCAGGCCCTGAAGGGGCAGGACCTCTGATGGCCCATAGGAACCCATCCCCCCCTCTGCCAGTGGGGAAAAGGGTGGGAACCAGGCCAGACACAGGAACTCTTGCGCAGGGCCCAGGGAGAGGTTGGAGGCTCGAGGCATGGCCCGTGACACTGACCATGGATATAATAACTCATAACTTCTTGGAGTGTGGGGGCTTCTCTCCTTCTCCTCCAGCAGATCAAGGCCACCACTTCAACTGACAGACATGGAAGCTGCAACTACTAAGTTTCATCGCTGGACCCCGTGGGCGGTGACTATATACATCTGTCCTCTCTCAGCTTTTCTCTCCCTTACTCTTATCCTGCCTTTCTCTCCCCTATGCATTTTCTCCCCCCCCCCAAAAGGTTATCTCTATGCCATATTGTTATATGACAACACAGAAATGCTAGCATGCCTGTTGATGCAAAATTGTCCCCTATGCATTTTCTCCCCCCCCCAATAGGTTATCTCTATGCCACATTGTTATATGACAACACAGAAATGTGTTGTTGATACAGAATTGTTAAACAGAACAACATGCCTGTTGATACAGAATTGTTAAAATAAACCTTGCCAGTATATGTTTTCAGACACCCATTATTCAGTGTCGCTTCACTCTAATCCACCCCAAGGGAATTATTGATAAAAACCTGGGTTAACCCCCTCCCTTTTTCTGGGGTGGGTCGTAACAATTGTTCCCTTAGTTTAGTTGTAAAGACACTTACAAAATATCAAAAAGTCTCTGTTACACATTTGTTTCTTCTCAAAGATTATTTGTTATCTAACACCATGTCTGTACATAAATTTTAAAATATTTATTTACATAAATATATACAATAATATTAATAATGTTATTACAGTGTATGCAATTTTTTATGTTGTTTGGGGTTTTTTTAACAGTGACTCTGTTACATTTTATTACTGAGCACATGATACTCTTTATCATAAATGCATTCTTTCATTACTTTCTTTATCTTTGAAGTGAGGCATATGCACATATACTGGTATTAATTGCAATAGGCAGTATAGAAATATCACTGGCCCATTATAGGTCACCTCACAAACAGATGTGACTCTTGGAGATGTCCTGTGCAGGGCCATGATCCTTGTGGGTCCCTTCCAACTTAGTGTATTCTGTGAATCTGTGATTCTGCGATTCTATTCTCTTTATTAACAATATCGAAACTACCTAGCTTGTGTTGCTTTCCCTCCATGAATATTGAAGAACTTTTTAATGGCAGGTAATATCACTGCCTTCCTGTATGAATAAAATTCATGAATCACAGAAGATTCATCTTCTTTTTTCAAGCTGTGTTGTCAGAGTAGTGATGGTGAAAGTATTACAAAGTACTACAACTTGGATTATCTTTATTTCCATGTCAACGTGAAATCCTATTTCACTCTCGTGGAAAATTTAGCAACAGCTTTATTTTATTCTTATAACCACATAGATCTTAGGAGATGATCAGCGGTAGAAGATCAAGTGGATTATTCTGGAATAGGTGAAAGGCATTAAAGACCTATGATTACACAATTGAATAGAGCTACAGATAGCTGAGCTCCAAGGCAGAAACTCAAACATCAAGTTTCTTGAACTATTTCTCTTTGTGGCAGGTAAAAGTGTCTCCTCTGTACTGAAGGATTCAAAGTACTGAAGTACTAGAAATATTTTTTGCCTCTTTTCTTCCAAAGCACATACATAGAAGTTGCTGTATTTCTGAATTAGAAAGTGTCGTGGGTTGACCTTGGTCGGATTCTAGGCACCCACTAAAGTCACCCTGAGCTGGGAGAGGTCACAGAGGCAAAACAGACTCAACGTGAGGTTAATATTAAAATTTATTACTAACAGGATAAGATCGAAAGAGTGAGAAATAAAACAGTCTTAAACACACTTTCCACCCACCCCTCCTTCCTTCCATATTCTCCCTCCTCCCCCCACAGCAGTGCAGGGGGATAAGTCCACCCCTCAGGCAACAGGTATTCCAAATCTGCTGTCCCACAGGTCACTCTTCCATGGGCTGTAGGGGGACAGCCTGCATCACCATGGTCCTCACCACAGGCTACAGGAGGGCCACAGCTCTGAGTCCTTCCCCTGCTCCATGGGGTCCCTCACACAGGTAACAGCCCTTGATGGACCCCTCCAAGGTGCGTCCACTCCTCAGGCAGTAGTTCTTCCATGTCTACTGTCCCGAGGGTCACTTCTCCATGGGGTGTAGGGGGGGTCTCTGCACCATGATGGTCCTTCAAAGGATGCAGTCCTTCACAGAGTGAACTGTATCGATGTGGATACCCCACAGGACCATGAGTCCTACTCAGGAATAACTTACTCCAGTGTGGATTTTCCTCTCCACGGGCCACAAGTCTCTTGAAGGACTCTGCTCCATCCTGGGCCTTCCACAGGGGTAACGGCCTTCTTCCATGCATCCATCTGCTCCAGCATGGGCTCAGCTGCACTGTGGCAGGCCACCCCAGCCCGAGCCCCAGCCGCCCCTAGTCAGGGGCTGCCACTCGGCTTGGTTGGCACTGCTGAGAGCAGCATGGGCTGCTCTGCTGGGGTGCCGCTGCCTGCTCTGGGCTAGGTGCTGAGAGGTCCGGGCTGGGCTGCTGCTGCCCCTCACGCCCCCTGCAGTGGGGGAGGCGGCGGGGCCTCCCGGGAGCTTCAGTCAGCTCTCCCCTGGCTGGAATTCTTCTGCGCAACAAACTTGTTCTTAAATATGTTATCACAGAGGCGTAATTATTGGCTCTCCCTTGGCCAGCAGCAGGAAGTCCCTCCTGTAGCCAGCTATCACTGGTTTCAATGGGGTGGGAAAATTCTAGCAGCTTCTAATTAAAGCCACCCTATGTAGCCCCTCTGCTACCAAAAACCCAGCCACCTCAACCCACGACAGAAAGTTAATCAGATTGAGAAGTATGACATTTGCAACCAGTTCAATTTAACTAATTGTTTTAACATACTATAATTTTAAGTCCATCCTATATACTACATAACTTCCATTTACAACTTTCAGACTGATGATATTTTCATCACTGAATGATACTGTCATTGATGTATAGTGTCTGTTCATTTGCTGGAAAGAAGTTCAAACAATCTATTCCTGTAGTTGCTTAAAGAAAATGAAACTTACTCATGCAGTTTTCTCAAGAATTGAAATTCCCATGTTCGGTGTTTTGACCATCTTGCAGACATATTTTATTACATATTTTCTTGTTTGCCTCTTCTTTTATTATTTTCATTGCAGTAAAAAAAAATCATATATTGATTCCTAGATAGCATCACTTATTATATATTCTTTGGACTAGTGTGTTTTTGTAAGCCACTTTCCTCTGCATATTATAGACACATTCAGATTCCTGATGCAGAAAATCATGCCTTAAGTTATTCTGGACATTTTTCCTACATTTTTCACAGGAAGGGCAACCGGGATTGAGATTGCCTGTTATTTCTTCATTTGAGTATTGATCATTCTACACTTTAAATCTGCTACCACTTGCCTCCTTGATGATAACATTTTCTCTACCTGGAAGTTCTACTGCAGTAAAGTCTTGTGCAATATATCAGTTTTATTTTTCATTTCATATCACAGACGGTAGTGTGTCACATGTGCAACAATTGTATAATCATGAAAGTTGTGAATATTGTATGTTGTTGTATCTATGTGTAACATAACATTCGACCTGCATGATCAAACATGCATCTTATCAAACATGATCTCGTGGAAGGTAGTTGATGAGCAGACACTCCCTTTTTAGAATTTTCCATACATGATAAAGGAAGACATGAAAAGTAAGGAAAGAGACACACTGAACATGTCTCTCTGATCTACATGACCTGATTTTATCAGGAGCTGTTATTAAACTACTGCAGCTCAGATCTGTCAGAACTTCTGTTTTAGATCTCAGTTCATTTTCAGAAATAAAACAAAATGCATTCAAATAGATTCAGTCACTGGAAATATTTTTAAATTTATAAAACTGAGGGAAAGGCAATAACCAGTGGACTATTTCTGTGACCAAATTTCTTGGATTCCAACAGGGTTTTTAGGAAAAGACTGAAACAAAATAAAAATCATGATTATACTGCTTTCTTACTGCAACTATTGATCTTTAAGTATGGTCAGTGTGGATGAATCTCATTCAAATAATCATTCATTTTCTAAATAGTGTCACAAGAGTCAATACACTTGCTGATGTATAGAGGGGAAGACTGCATTCATTTTTAATTACATGCTGAACATTGAAAATGTAACTTTTTCATTCACTGTGGTTTAGTGAACTCTTTGAACATGACAGTGTAGAAAAAATAGAGTGAAAATGCATTGGAACCAGTTGTTGAATAACATGTATAACAGTGTGATGCATTTTTCAAAGGAATTTGTTGAATTGTGTAATAGCAGCTTTTACTGTTCCTCCAATGCTGCGTATTCTGGGATGCCAATAGCAGAACATATTCTGCTGAGTATTTCAAAATAAATTTGCATGGGCAGGAATTCTATAAGCAGTTTTGTCACCTGAATTCTAATTAGATAAGATTTATAGACTGAAGTTCCAGAAAAGGGAGGTAGGAAAATCTCACCTAATTTCCTGTGCTTAGGATGGTACTCAGTTTATCAAAAACAGACATCCACTGTGTAAGTATTGTGGGCATCTACGTAGATCAATTAATACAGAAATATCTATATGTGTACTGGAGATCATTAGGTTGTGTGATAAAAGGCTTACCTCTGCACATGAAAAGGAGCATGGAAGAACAATCACAGATACGAAGAATCTGAATAAACTAATCAGTAAAGTGAGCACCCAGCTACTCTCATGGCTGTCACAGGAAAGCCATCACCCCTATGATCTGGGTATGAAACAGGATTAGTCAAGAAGCACCTCTCTGGATCACCTTTCAGGCTAAGGAGTGTTATGGCCCAAAGTATGTAACTCATAGGAAAAGGGGAATATCCTCTTTGGATTGCACAAGATTTATTATGGTATCATGAGGGCAGGTAAAGGGAGAGATTAAGATAGTTTTGGAGAAAAACTATGGGAATGGAGGGGCAAGGGAATAAAAGGGGACAGTTGCATGTAAACAGACTGATGGTCAATTAAATTCCATTACTAACAATTTTCCTGTTAAGGGGACTGTTTATTCTCTGTGTGCTTGTGTGTGTGCATGTGTACATATGGAGGTCAAAGCGCCAATA